GCATGTGCCCTTGACTGGAATTGACCCCAGGACCCTTCAGTCCGCAGGCCGATGCTCTATCCACTGAGCCAAACTGGCTAGGGCTCTCTCTCATTATTGATATTTTATCTCTCTCCCTCTCCCTTCTTCTCTGAAATCAATAAAAATATTTTTAATGTTAATAAATATTTCCATGGTAAAATTTTAGGTGTCTTTAATTTCTTCTCTGTGCCTCTTTATTATATAAGTGTGTGTCATTCTAGAAATCAAAGACATTAGTCTTTCTCTTTTTAAAAAAGTATGTTTTTACTTATTTTAGTGAGAGAGGAAGGGACAGAGATATAGGAACATCAATTGGCTGGTTGGCTGCCCCCCACTGGGTATCGAGCCCACACCCAGGCATGTGACCTAGGTGGGAATTGAACCAGCAACCTCCTGGTGCAAGGGATGACGCTCAACCAACTGAGCCACATCAACTGGGTGATGTTAGTCTTTTAAAAAAAATCTCTATTAGAGCCCTAGCTGGTTTGGCTCAGTGGATAGAGCATCGGCCTGCGGACTGAAGGGTCCTAGGTTCGATTCCCGTCAAGGGCACATGCCTGGGTTGTGGGCTCGATCCCCAGTAGGGGGCGCGCAGGAGGCAGCCAATCAATGATTCTCTCTCATCATTGATGTTTCTATCTCTCTCTCTGAAATCAATAAAAACATGTTATTTAAAAAAAAGTCTCTATTGGGGGGGAAGGGCAATTGGGAAAACAAAAAGGGGGACATATGTAATACTTTCAACAATATTTATAAAAAATAACAAAAGTGTCTATTAGATATATTTACTACTGCACAAATGAATTTAGTTCATTCTGAGCCTCACAATTTCTATGAAAACTCAGTTCCAACATCAGCAAAACAAAGACACACCTTTCTTAGATGGCAGTTGAAGCAGCAAGCCCCCTTGTCCATAAACAAAATGATTCCTTCAAAAGGAATTCTAATGATTGAAATCTCTCCATCTTCTTATGTCAGGAAGAATATTCTAGTTACAGCTGTTCAAAAATAGATTGGTTTGAGTTCCAAGTTCCTGAAAGTTTTCCAATAGAACATGGAAGAATTCACAGATATTTTAAGAAAGATGTTGGGCCTGGATAGGCAGCTGGACTGCACGACTTCTACTTTCTCTTCTAAGATTTTTAGATCTTACCAGTACCTCTCCCTGAGGGTTCTAATTGTGTGCTGCGTTTCACTTCCAGCTCTTCTGTGGACAGCAGGGACTTCTTACATGTAGCATCGTGGTTTGCATGATGTGGACTCAATAAACGAGCAAACACTTATCTAGTTCTCACCACTTGCCAGTCAGCATCCTAAGCTTGCACTGGGGGGGAATTAACTCATGTAATCTTCAAAGCGACCCTATGAGATAGGTCTTCAGATCGTTCCCGAGTTACAGAGCAAAAAGCTGAGGCTTAGCAGAGTTGAGAAATTTGTCCAAGATTACATGGATTATGAGGGGCAAAGCTGGGATTTGAATCCAGGCAGGCTGTCTCCATAGTTAGCCTCTTCTTAGCCAACATCATACTGCCTCTCACTTCAGAGATGTTTGAAATTGCTCCAATTCCAAACGCTGAGATCTATGCGGTGTTCTACCCTGGTTCTGGCCTGCTGGGAGTTTTGTGGGCTGACCTGATCATGGCAGGCAAAGTATGCCGTGTGCAGTCCACATTTGTTTTTTGTTGTTTTGTTTTAAATTAGCTTTATTGTTGAAAGTATTACAGATGTCTCCTATTTCCACCCACTATCCCCTTCCACCCTGCATCTGTCTCCCCTCCCCCTCCCCCTGCACTATTGTCTGTGTCCATGGATTATGATGATAGGGATACAAGTTCTTTGGTTAATCTCTTCCACCCCTCTCCTCCTGAAAGCCAAAAGCAGAGAATAATAGTGAGATAGTTGCATCAAGTTCAAGTGATTAACAGATGTACTTGATTATGGAATCTTTCCGATGGAAAGGTTCTTAAAGGACAACCAGCCCAGCCACTCACTCAATGATGCAATGCATGTAATAGGGAACTGAATGGGTGGGATTTTTCCTACCTGGACCCCCTCACTAAACCTGGGCTTAGCACTACGGTCAAATGGGTTCCTGCCCACCGTCTCTTGTCTTCCTTGGTCTCCTCCTCCTCAGCATCTTTGCCTCTGCTTGATGCATCACCAAATTCATCAGCATCCTAACTCCTTCATCTTGGTGGTAAACACCTCGCCTGTAACCCTGCTTGCCTTCCAACTCAATGAGATTAAGTCTTCCTGGACAGCATTAGGTATTTTTTTATGGTTAATTTATTTGTTTTTATATTTTTACAGCTCCTGCAATTTAATTAAAAATGACTTTCAGGCTGCAAAACTGGCCTCTGCTGCTAATTAGATTCCACGGATCTGTCCAGAAAGGTAGAAATCATTTTTTTAATAAACATATATATTTTTAAAGTATTACTTGCCCTGGCTGGAGTGGCTCCGTTGGTTGAGCATCATCCCTTGCTGCAAAAGGTCTCCAGCCAGTTTGATTCCTGGTCAGGGCACATGCCCAAGACTCGGGTTGGATGGTTAGTTCCAGTGCCTACAAGAGGCAACTGATCAATGTTTCTCTTTCACATCGGTATTGCTCTCTCGTGTCTCCCTTCCTCTTGCTCTCAAATGAATAAAAAACACATTTTTAAAAAGTTTAAAAAATTATTACTTAATGTACTGCTATGATATATTACCCAAGCTCTTGGACATAGAGAAGGAGGGGGTGGGGAAGAGGGTATTTGTCTTGTCAACTCTACTTTTTTCCAGGCCCTGGTCTGGTGCAGAGCTGGTTGGGCTAGGGTTCCCTTTGCACACAGTCTACAGTGGGCCCTCCTACCCACAGCTGGACTTCAGCTGGGCCCTCCTACCCCCAGCTGCACGGCCTGCACGCCACCCCCCTCCCCAGGGTGTCACGTGGACAGATGAGCTAACGTATGTGAAAGCCTTTGTCAACTCCAAGGCACAACTGAATGCCAAGGATTACTGTTGTTATTCTTATTGTACTCCAGGGAAACCCTGTTGCCCACTCGGCCCTCCCAGCCCTCCTCTGTGGGCCAGCCGGGGAAACTGCCAGGCCAGACTGCCCCTCCCCTGTGGGCGGCGGTTCCTGGCACAGATCTGCCTCCCGGACTTGGAGGAGAGACGCTATCTAACGTCGGACCCCCCACCTCTCGGTAATGGCTTTCCCAGTTCTTCCTGGCTTCAGGGACCTTCCTCCGGAAGGAAATCTTCTCGGTCGCAGTGAAAGTTCTCGAGCTGCAGAAATCATCCACTCCCAGGGCCTCTCCTGACGCCCACCCAGCGCCCTCCCTCCAGCGTCAGCAGCAGAGCCAGGCTGCCCCGGAAGGATCTGACGGGCAATTTCCTAGAATTGTCTTCCCGGAGTTCCTCAGTCTTTGGGCTCCCCGCTCCCCTCCCCAAAGCCCAGTCTCTTTAGATACCCAGCCCCCATGCCCAACGTCTCAGGCCCTAGTTCTCCTTGGCAGATCCACTCTGCTCTGGGGTTGTCTACTACCCTTGGGAGGGGCAACTGGGGCAGGAGAGTCGAGATGGTCACCAGGGCCCACTAGGAAGTTGAGTATGCCGTGGTTACCAGGGCAACCATCCTTCTGTTAGGCCTCCCAGCAGAGGGTGAGGACTTGACCATGCAAGCTGCCTCTCCCAATAAATCAAAGCTGACTGAAGCCCAAAAGGGTGGGTAGGGAGCACAGAACATTAAGGTCACTGGACAAGGTCACATCCCAGACCACCACTTGCGTATCGGGGAGCACTGCCCTGAAGGCAGACCTCCAAGCTGCCCACCCCTACTTCCAGGTCCCACTGGGTGTGGACTCCAGGAAGAGGCTTGGGGAGGGGAGGTGGGAGGAAGGGCCTGTCTGCACTTGATGGATGGTACTGAAGAAATGTCTGGCACTTTCTTTCCCCTTGGGGGAGGTGAAGCTGTAGCCACCTCTCCCCCCCTCATCTGCATTCCTGCCTGCCTGCCTCTCAGGAAGGGGGTGGGGTGAGCTGCTGGAGCTGGGACAAGGAGGGCCCTTAGCCCAGGGAGAGTCATTTTGCAAACTATCACTCACAGTTGTCCACACTGGCATGGGAATGGAGGGACGTGCGGACAATCCCGAAACCTCAATGGAATTGAAAAGGGATCCATATGTTCCCACCCCCATCCCTGTTTCTGTGCTCCCGGGCCTCCTGGGGCAAAAGATGCGAGAGCTCTCCATCCAGTCCTCACGCCCTTTCCTGCTTCTGATTTTCATGCTCCTACTAGTACATGGTTTGCCTTATGGACTGTGTTATTTGTGCTGAGTGTGAAAAAGCAACGTGTGTGTGTGTGTGTGTGTGTGTGTGTGAGAGAGAGAGAGAGAGAGAGAGAGAGAGAGAGAGAGAGAGAAACTGCTGGTATCTTAGCATAAATAAGGCAGTAGCACCAAACTAGTCATTGAAATCTTCATTTTCACCTATTGCCAGTTAAAAAACAGTTTCTCCCTCTCTCTCTTCTTTTTTGTTACTCCTCACCTGAGGAAACATGCCCTCGACAGGGACCTCGACCCTTCGGTGCCTGGGCTGATGCTCTAACCACTGAGAACACCGGCCAGGGCTGCCAGTTTCTCTAAGAATGTGCTTGATAAAGCAGGAAAAAGTTACTAACATGTGGTGGGTTTATTATAGTTATTTTAAATGAGTTAATAGGGCTTGTTTTCATTTATAGTACAGTAGATATCAGTAGATAAGCCCACAGAAACAAAAGCTCAATAACTCTTAGGGTGGAAAGGGTTCCTGGGATCAAGAGTGATGCATGCCCTGCCTGGGCAATGCGTCGGCTGTTCCCAGCTTGAGAAGCATGTCTCATCTGACAGAGGGTGGAGGATGTGGCTGTGTTTTCCGGCAACCCTCTCTCCCTCAAGAAGAGACACTGTCACTAGGATAACGATTTTAATGGTCTCCACTCCCAGTTGAGAAGCAAGGCATACAGGCCGTCAGCCCCTCCATACCTTGCCTCTCCCCTGCACACTGTATCCAGCGGTGGGTGGTGAGAGATAGGGGGTGTTTGTGGCAGTTGTGGACCCCCCCCCCCAGATTCACTTCTAAAACCTTTTGCTATTCCCCCTAAGATGGCTCTTCCCCTTCCCCATAAAAGTCACAGTGTAGCAAGGCGGAGGGAGGAGGGCACAGGAGGGGCAGGAGGATCCAGGAACCCACACCCCAGCTTGGCCTGAGTGGGGGTGGATAACGGGTGTGGGCTTTGTTCTGGTTCTGTAAGCTCCGAGTTCTCTCCCCCGACACCAGTCCTCTTTCAGAGGTGGTATGTGGGGTCTCCACTGGAATGAGCACACCTGAGTTGTTCAAACCACTTCTCTGGATCCTCTGGCAATAGTGGGGCTGCGGTGGGTGAGGGTGAGGCCTGGACCCTCGTGTCACTTCTGGCGCCGGGAAGGGAGGTGTGGGAGGCCAGGAGGAAAGGCGGGTCAGCCTCGGGTGCTGTTCCCCCGCTCCCCCAGCAGCCAGTAGGTCCGAACTTTGCCTTTGCCCTGGAGGGAAATAGAAGAGGAGGTTGGGATGGGGAGTGGCAAGCCCATTTGCCAAATGATGGGAGTGGAAGGGGCTGCTTGGGAAGGGGCTTGAGGGAGGGCAGCCCCCTCTGGGACCCCAAGGGATGGTGAGGATAGGGGCTTCCTTCTCTACCTTCATCTCTACATCCCCTCGAAGCTCCAGCTCGAAACCACCGAACTCCTCCAGGACAGCCTTGGTCTCCGAGGACAAGTGGATCTTCAGGGCTGAGGAGGATAAGGAGAAGAAGGGAAGGGGAGGGATGCAAGAGAAGGGCCCAGGGGAAATCAGGGACTGTGGGGGTAGAAAGATGCTCTCTCCTTCTGAGTCCCACCCTCTCCATGGGGTGTCTGACCACACTGGCCTCTCTGCTGGCACCTGAGAGCTGTGTGATCTATCCATCCTTTACACTTAAATTAATTAAAACTCAACACAGTTACAAATTCAATGCCTCAGGTGCAAGACCACATTTCAAGTGATCAAGAGCCCCTGTGACAAAGGCTCCCATGTCCGACAGCTCAGATTAGAGAACATTTTCATCACTGTAGCAAGTTCTATTGGACAGCACCTCGCGCATCACCAGGCTCTAGCCCAGGGGTCCTCAAACTACGGCCCGTGGGCCACATGCAAATACAAATACTGTATTTGTTCCCGTTTTGTTTTTTTTACTTCAAAATAAGATACGTGCAGTGTGCATAGGAATTTGTTCATAGTTTTTTTTTAAACGAACTCATTTTTTTTGGTTGATTTTTCTTTGTTAAATGGCATTTAAATATATAAAATAAATGCCAAAAATATAAATCTTCATTTTACTATGGTTGCAAATATCAAAAAATTTCTATATGTGACACAGCACCAGAGTTAAGTTAGGGTTTTTCAAAATGCTGACATGCCGAGCTCAAAAGGTTCGCCATCACTGTTCTAGACAGTCTAGCACAGAGGTCAGGACCTCACACTTTGGATCCTGCTCTGCCTAGTCTGAATGCCGGAGTGAGTGCCAGAGTGAGTGCCGGAGTGAGTGCCGGAGTGAGTGCCGGAGTGAGTGCTTGCTTGGGGAAGTCATACCAACTATCTGGGCTTCATTCTCCTAATCCGTAGAGTAGAGTAGCGTGCTGACAGGGACAGTGCCCATCTCAAAGCCCTGCTGTGAGGATTAAATTTAACCTTCAAAAAGGGGACAGAATCTGGCACATGGGAAGCGCTCGATCAGCGACTGCTGTCGGTTATCTACCTCACCTCCCTCGTTTTCCAGCTGGGGTCACTGAGGCCTAGAGATCTTCCCAGGCTGCTGCGGTCAGACCTCGGCCTCCTGACTACTGACCGGGTGTCCCTACACCCCTTCTCTATCGATCTCCCTCTGAACTCGCTCCCACCACCCCTGGGGTCTGCATCACAATGGCCTTGTTTTGCTGTTTAACCATTTCTGAGGATGTGCTCCTTGAGGAGTGGATCTCAATGAGAGGCTCTCTCCTCCCCGGACAGCCCCAAGCACCGTGCCCAGGGAACATCTGCTGGACCAGAGCCCCACTTGGCCCCAAGTCGCCCTTCTCCCGCCATGAGGCTTGGATGGGGTCCACACGGACGCTCCAGCCAACTGTGGGTCTGGGTCTTCGTATCCCAGGGCCCGGCTCTCACAAATTGCTCCATAAATGTTCACTTGGTTAAACTGTGTTGAATACAGCAGGAAGGCCGAAGATCAACAGGAAGCAGGGCCAAAGGAAGCGGTGGGAGCGAGCGTTTATTAGGTACCTACTGTGTGTCAGGGGCTGTGCTAGGTTTTCTACAACCGGAGGCAGGCATCGTTTTTTACAGATAAACAGCCGAGGCTCGGAAAAGTTGAATGACGGTTATGTGCTCCGCATGTATTACGGCTTCCTCACATAACTCTAGTGAGGCAGGCATTTATTCTCATTTTTACAGACGAGGAACACGGAGACTCACAAGGGTGTAGCAAACCCAGACCCAGCTGGGTTAGTTGTAGAGCGGAGCTCCACACGCCGGTGGGCAGCTCTGAGCCTTCCTGACCACGCCCACGGGGAGCAGAGGGTTTCTAAAGGCGGGAGTCCTGCTGGGAACTGGTGAGCAATGGCCTGGAAAGACTTTCCAAACATTTGGAAAGGCAGGGCAGCTAGGATCTGAGTCTCTGATTAGATGCAAGGTGATCTGCCCAGGTTGAACTCTTAGGAGCAGGAGGCTGGGAGGAGCGAGGGCTAGGAGCTGGGGCAGGGATGACAGGCACA